GCAAGGTCAGCAGTTCGAAGCTACCAGCTTCTCCGCGGGAGAAAGATGAAGCGTTCTGCTCCCGTAAAGATTAACAGCCTCGGAAACCCTGTGCAGGGTCTATGAGTCGGAACCGACTCCATGGCACATAACAACAACATATGTTAAATAGATTTTAACATTACACAGATACCAATATGCTTCAAATCTAATGACCGTCATAAAAATGGGCATAGAAAGTCTACGGTAATAGAAATACTGTGAGCTTTTCTTCTAGAAAGAAATGACCCATTTTAAATAGTGACCACGCACTTTGGAGTACTCTGCTCTCAAAATCCTTTCCAGCATATTTTATGTTTGTCTTTGGATTTCAGCCATACAAAAATCTGCTTGGATTTAGAAATTTGGGAAGGAATATCACTGGGTTTATTTGTACTTGTTCCCAGTGGAGAATAATTTAACTGCCTTTTAATACTATTTTGGTGCACATTCATTCATTCATTCATTTACTCATTCCTTCATTTTGCCAATAGAGTTGAGAAATGCGAACCCTAGTTGATTTGCCTTTGAATTTAAATTTCTATATCTTAGACTTATGTCAACCCACGTTCTATGTTTGGTCATCTTTGGCATTTCTTTCATGTGTCAGAATCGTATAAAAAGTTCTTCATTTATCTAACATTTGACGTGTTACAAATGGTTACCCTTTATCAACTTGAGCCTTCCATACCATTTTGGGATCAGATGAACTCCAATATAAACTTTTCCAGACAATGGGCTGAGAATAATTTGGTCAGAGACTCCAGTTACGTTTAATTCTTACACAACTGGAATCGTTTACAGAGCTTATTTGAGCAAGTGTCTTGATTTCTATACAAAAATAATTGTTAGTAATTTTTCATGTGCATGGTATAGAACTGGACTCCCTCACTGAGTACACAAATATGTACCTTTTGCATTTTATTAGTCCCAAATACTATGCATACTCCTAGGTAATTGAACATTAAACCAGGAACAAAAGATGCCTTCATCTAATTATGGGAATGTTTTGAAACATCAGTT